GGGAAAAATTATGAACTCCAGGTAACAAGATGAAAGTTAGACCTAAAAGACAGCTCAACAACGAGAAGGACTGAAGCCCACGTTGACAAATGGCTCGGTCAGGCTAGGAAGATCGAAGCACTGGCTCATTTACGCCCTTTATAAATCTCTTCTAAGAATGGTGTCCTCAAAAAGTTATTCAAATTATAAGGTTGCCAGTGGGATGAACGAAACGGCTTGCACACGATTAAGAATCGCAGCGGTCGTAAAAACGGGCCAAACTGACGAACTCATTTTCTCCAGTTTGGAGCAACTTATTACAAAAATATACATAATTCTAATGAAAAAGGAGACTTACCCATCCCCATATTCCAATCCGCTTGGAATCAATGAAACGATGCTTGGCAGCCAAAATTCTGAAAAACCACAGGAACCCTTGAAATGTTTTTTTAAAGTAAGCGCACAATCGTGTCGACTTCATTTTTTGACAAACACACTTGCCAATTCTGTCATGAAAGGAACTCCCTTCTGCGAAAGATGCAGACCAGGAGGAAATCAATCCCTCAGTTTCACTACCTCCGGGTCTTCTGAATGTTTTCTATTACATTAGCGGCCTTTGTGTTCCGTTTCTCACGCACCATGCGTGATTCATTTCACGTATAAAAAGTCATTCTATTCGTAGATTGAATTTTGAGATGCACAGATTATGGAAAACAGTTATTAGCGGTGCATGCTCAGTGATCAGGAGCGCTTCTCGCTTCCCCCTCTGTAACGCTGAAAAAAGAACTTTCCAGCAAGTGTCTGCTAACGATACTGTGCTAACACTTATGTAAGGGAGAAACCGGAGGAAAATGAGAAAAAAAGAATTGATTCTCTTTAAGATATGCAGATCAGAGAGCCGGCCCATTTAAATATCGCTTAATTTGTTTTTTATAAAAATAATCTTAGCTTTCTCAGTTTGATGAAGGTTTATGTATTTTTCATAATTTGCAAAGTGCTGCCAAATATGTTTTCCTTACAAAAAATGACCTTATTTACAAACTTTGTAGTTTGACTACAACAAAAAATTGTTTGTATAAAGTCTCAGATGTATACTTCATTGTTTCGATCTGATCATCAATTTCGACGGTGCCAAGACGTCCATAGACCGGCTCTTTGTACTTCCAACCTCTCATACCGGATCCTCGACCGTCTATGTATACAACAATGTACTTCGTGTTTGAAGCTAGAAACATGTCTAATGTATTCGGCGTTACTTCCTCCGTGACTTTCTGCGATCCCGGCCCTGCATATCTGTAAGGTAACGCATCAACTAGCTTTGATTTTCCATTAATACTTGAAATAATATGCGGTTGAGCACAAAGGGCACAAACTTTTTATTAAAGCACATTTGGTTAGGAAAGGAGTATTTCCTGCAACTGCCGGGTTCGCTTGTTGGGTACTTGGATTAGCTATAAGCAGATTTTAGCAACTAGGTTGACCCTGGAAGTCTAAATGGTGAAAGCGCGATAGCTAACAATATGAGCGAAGGAAATAAGGATGAGATAAGACGTATCGGCCCATTAAGTCATATGCGCCTTAACTCAACACTGTGACAGGTCCTCGTCAGTATGATGGTCGCAGTGTTTAAAAGAGGTGGGAAAGAAAAGAGAAAGACGACAGAAGCAGAAAGAACGAAGATTTAATACTGGGATTAGACCTCCAGTTACGCAGCTATCAATTTTACTAATACTGACAATCCTGCACTGGCTGGTTATTGGCAGTTTTGACGTTCGTTTCATCTTTTAAAGTGATAAATAGCATCATGATTGTCTGGGGAGAAGCATTGGATAAGGCATTGGTTTCCGTGATGTCATGGTATGTATGTTCTGGGAAACACAAGCTCCTATGATGAGATATCGTATCCGAAACTACAAGGCAAGCAGAAGACAAGGATTAAATGACTTACACAGAAACAATTACTGGAAATCTCGCATCCAATGATCCCTGATCAAAGCCCGGTGGCAGCAACATTTTTACCTTTGCAACTGTAAAATTTGTAAAAATTAATTCCCAGTTCCGCTATGTGAAATCTCTGCCCAACCCAGATCCGTCCGCTGCTCCTCTATTTTCTTGCCCTTTTTCCGACGCCCACACGGTTTTTATGCGTTTTGTGCTGTGTAACAGCGTTACAAAACGCATATTGTCACGGTGTTGTCTGTGTGTGTGTTTGTGTTTGGGCGTAACTATACCAGTTGTACTACTGGGATGTATCCTCACGACGGGCGCAGTTATGCCAAACTCTTCGATTCTGCGCTACATAGGTCCAGTTGGTAGTTACCGTCTGTTGAATAAATGTGTGCCAGCTCAGCTCTTCACAGGCCAGGCCACAAGTTTTTTTTCATTTAAAAAAAATAAAAAAAAACTTTCGAACAATGATAACCCGAACAAAAAAAACGGCTTTCTGGGCGATAACAGCGCTTACCATATCCGCTGGAGAGGGTAACATTTTCGTACCTCGCTGTTGCCAGTGCTTTTTCGTTAT